AACATGTGTGTGTGTGTGTGTGTGTGTGTGTGTGTGTGTGTGTGTACGTGTATACCTGGTATTCCTCACATTATGAGGACCAAATGTATAAGTATAGTAATGCCAGTATATTTTGACCATGGGGGACATTTTTGGCCCTTATGAGGAAAAAAGATTATAAATCATATAGAATGAAGTGTTTTGAAAATCTAAAATAGCAGAAAGTTTCCTGTGAGTGGTAGGTTTAGAGGTAGGGTAAGGGGATAGAAAAAATACAGTTTGTACAGTATAAAAATCATTATTACTATGTCTCACTTGTTGCTAAGGTGATGCTTTTTAACTCAAAAACAAGCAGTCGGAATGAGCCAAATAGGTATCAATTCAAGGCTATTTTTGCATACATGCAACTAAATGTATGCAAATTGAGCCTTTTGAACAGCATAGGATTGGACAATGAAGAGAAGGTACAATAAACAGACTTTTGTACAACACTGACACAAACAGAAAATCCTGAGTAGTAGCACAGACTCAAACTCTAGATCCAATAACATCTGGACAACAGAGAGTAAGGTACAAAAAATAACACTGAAAGAGGGGTGGAAAGGGGTGGGGTCAGTATTCTGGAAGTGAGTAATTTCCTTCTTGTCTTGTTTCTGGGGTGCTGGTGATATTGTTTTCAAAGGTTGGGAATGCTTATTTCTGTCTGAGGGATAAAGGTCAGGCAATGTAGCCACTATAAAAAAGTCATTTGGCACATGGTTTCCAAGACTGACTCTGCCTTGATGCCTACAGACCAGTGGCGAAGCTACGGGTGGGCCCAGGTGGGCATGGGCCCACCCATTTTGAACTGTGGCCCACCCAATGAGAAGTTGGTCATATTCCAAATGGATGTAATGTATTAAACGATAATAATAACCAACATCTTATTTCACTGTAACTTTATATATTTAGTTTTAAAAAATATTAAACTTGAGTTTTCATGGTCAATTACATGCAGTTTCAATTACAGGCAAATTTCCCTCTTCCTATGGGCGCATACCATACGCTTGTCAAAATGATGATTCGTCATTTTCTGTTACTCCCACACACAATGTTATGTTTATGACATAAGGACTTAATAGTAAAATGTGTGTGTTTGTGGAGTTGACTTTGAAAATAGTGAAACAAACATAAATCAGACCAATTCTTTAAAAAATACATTGAATATCCCAATTGAAAGTCTCAGCAATGAATCCAGACAAATGAAGCCAGACCACTCGCAGGTAATAGATTTATAGATTGGAAACTTCTGAGCCAAACGTTTTTGAAGCATCATATGAGCATAGGTACAGTGTTTGATCAGCTAAACAGATGCATCCTTTGTGGAAAAACATAAACGTTGTGCTAGATACTGTTCTCCACAACAGACTGCATATTTTCAGCTGCGCTCATTTCTATGGTCCTCAATGTTTACTCTCCTTTGAACATGAACTGACAGAGACATTTGATTATGAGATCATCTGCGAAGTCCTGTTGTCTCAGACTGAGGTGATGCTTTACAATAAACTTCCTTTAGTTAACGCTAATATATTAACTAACATTAACAATGAGCAATACATTTGTTACAGTATTTATTTATTAATCTTTGTTAAGGTTAGTTAATAAAAACACGACTGTTCATTGTTATTTATGTTAGCTTGAGTAGAAATGTTAACAACTTTTAATTTTAATAATGTATTAGTACATTTTAAAATTAACATTAATGTTAATCAATGCTTTAGAAGTATTGGGTAATGAACCTTTGTGCTGTTTTTTTCTGTTGGCAATTTGACATGCAGTTTCAATATGCTACACTTTGCTCACCTTGTTTTATGTAGGCCCACCCACTTAAACATTTCTGGCCTCGCCCCTGCTACAGACAAAGAAAAAAGCACCAATGCAAAACAATTTTGTGGGAATGACACGTGCTAGGCATCATGCCAACCTTGAATGGCATGCCAGCCGGTCTGGTTAAAAGAGTTCTGTGATGTTCTCAAGTCATTCATCTATATTATTAATGGTATCTTTAACAAAAACAAAAACATGAACCATACCTTTTCTATTGTTTCAATTTCACAAACCTAACAGTCATCTTGCACAGTGAAGATATTTGTCAAAACTGATCACAAAGAGAACAGTAGACTGAAGAAACGAATCATAATTAATCAAACTACAACTGCAGGACTCATTTATATGTGCCTCATGGGACACTTAAAGTTTGAGCCAATTTGACTTTTTAGCACTGCATGCTGTGCTACAATCCAATAGAAGGAAACATTTAGTAAATTTCTCAGGAAATTGCATTGGGATACTAGCTACTAAATTTTGGGATAAGTGTCTTGGGTAAATCCGTATAAATAGGTACTTTTTACGGAGGCTGTAATATAAGTCTACTTTAATTTAAGTCTACTTTAACAATGTAATCTCAATATGTCATATGGCCTGTCCTGGCATGTGAAATCTAAAAAAGGCTGCTCTATATTCAGAAAGCTCTAGTTACTCACTGACTCATCTGTTTCAAAAGCCAAGAAACCACATGATAGGTCTGGTTTGTGTGTCACTGTATCTAGTCCAGTGTGAATTATTAAGCAGAATAATTTAACCTTTTTCCCAAACAAAGAAACACGTTTACTTCCAGTGGATAATTTCAGTGGAAAACATCTGGATTTTGAAATTAGAGTACAAGTACACATTATTCCTTGTTGGGTAACCTTGTGCTAAATGAACTGGTTTTGTTCTACATTAAATACTATTTAATATGACTGAATAATCCTTACTACATTATGTTACATCAACAAAAATCATTTTAATCTGGCTAAAATTGCTTCTTGAGATAATTACAGCAGATTTTCAAGCGTAGGGAAGAGTAGTATTAAGTGTAATCGAGTAAAGACTTTTATTGCGTTGCAGTCTCAGATGAGGCAAAAGGGTTCTGCAGAAATGCTGTTATATGCAAAAGCATTTTCTCTTTTAAATGTAGCACGTAAAAGTAAACAACAATATTAAATAACTAGAGTAAACGACAAACGGTACTTAAGTACAGTAATGACATTAGAATAGAATAGAATAGAATAGAATAGAATAGAGTAGAATAGAATAGAAGATTATTCGAGTAGAATTGAATAACACTTCTGACACCTACCTTCTATCAGAGGGGACTTTAATAAATCTCGCCTGTCTTCGGGGAAACACTCCAGGAGTCTTTTTAAAAGTCTTCCCAAATCTGAGGAGCTTCTGTGCAGGTAGAGTATATTTCTGTCCGACCATTCAGTCCTTATTTCAAAGAACTCCTCTTCCTCTCCTCTAATGATGAGCCTGCGGATCCCGTTAACCCAACAATCCTTCACGAACATGTTCACCAGGGATGTGCCCTCAAATATCGCCGATGCCATCTTTAGTACCCTCACTCCAGCATTCTGTAATGGGTGGATTTATCCTTCTGCTCAACTTCAACAGCATTTAAGTCAGTCAAACTGACTCATGGTCGAGTCTGAGGGGAAACCCACACATGTAAAGGATAATAAATTATATGAGTTGACCTTGTTTAAAGGAAACTGACGGTTTCGATTCGTTTGCGTCTTCAAACGTGGTAGAAGGATTTAACTCCACAAATATCAAGTAGCTAGTTAAAATATTATCCTAAGCATACTCCTTTCGTTTTTCTTCAGCTGGGTGCGTGGATGTCAAGACGTCGGACGTTTTATCCACCTTTATGCACATCGATCCGTCAAAAAGTTTAGGCGTTCCCTCAATGCATGTCTGATGCAATTTATTATAACGGGCTACGACCGTTCGCTTGTACGCATCGGTAACTTGAGCCTCTTTAATCCCATTAGATGTTCTTAATCACAGATAAAGTCCAGAGTCGATCAGCTGACCAGAGTGAATAGCAGGCAGTGTAAAGCAGAGAGTTTTGTTACTGGCATAAAATGACTGCGTTTCCTTCTGTTGACAGAAATTGAATCTTCACCCTTCCTTCCCTCTCATTCTCTTTCCCCAATAGCGCTATGCGAGGAATTTACGTGTGTGTGTGCGTGCGTGCGTGCGTGCGAGTGAGTGAGAGAGAGAGAGAGAGAGAGAGAGAGAGAGAGACATCACTCACTCAAACACAGTGAACGTCATTCTATGTGCTCTATATTTGGAAAATTTAGTCATTATACATGTGGTCGATTGACACGTTGTTTCAAATTCTATAAAATTAAAAAAGTCAAATCTACTATAGGCCTATATAGTTTTATTATATTATATTATATCAGATTAGTGATATTGTATATGTAATGAATATTTTACAATAAGATAGTTGTCACACAGGGAAGTTGTCACAAGGATATGTCACACAGGGAATTTGTCACAAGGATATATGTATAGATTTTGTAATGTTGGTGTTAAATGTCAGGATCATGGACCGGTTTAGTTGTGTTTTGCCCCTTTGTTCCTGGTGTGCCTTATATGATCTTTTTCCTCTCCTCATTTAGTTTAATTAGTCATTCAGTGCACCTGTGTTTGTTAATTATCCCTTGCATTTAAGTTCGAGTCTGTGCTGTTTGTCTTTGTCCGACATTGTACGTCAACCCACGTGTTACCTGTGCTCCTGTCTACCCCGTGTATGCCCTTGGATTTTGGATTAAAAGACTATTGTGTTCGTTTACGCTTTGTCTCCTCGCTCCTCTCCGTAGGTGAACGGGACAGATTCTCGGACCAGAACAGTTTAAATTGCATGTTTCCCCTCCGTTTTGTTTCTCGTTTTTCTCTCAGTGTTTTTGTTTCCATTGTGTGCCCCATTGGATCCCCTGCTTCGCCCTGAATACATCCTCCTCCTGCTGTAGCAGGGGGAAAAATCGCTCAAGGGTCATACATGACTGTTTCTGGCTATTGCCCATCTCACCACCTACCCGGACGAAGCACTCTGCGCGTTCTATGACGCCAGCCTCAACACCACGTGCAGAGCGCCGTCATCCAAAGATGGCCCTCGAGCGGAATTCACCACCTTTGTGGAGCGGACACTGGTGAGAAATGGATCTCCGTTCCTCGCCTGTTCCCAGGAGTATCTCGCCAGTGCCACTCCCGACCCAGCCCACCATCTCCCCGATGCGCATGCCCGAGCCCACCGCTGACGGAGAGTCGGAGCCCGCCGCGACCGATGAGCCATCGCCACATGGAGCGACAGTGCTAAGGATCGCCGCGGAGCCAGAGCTGCTGATGACGTCAGTCAAGGTGTGTGAGCCGGCAACAACGCCTGCCACGAGGGAGAGTGCCGCGGATGGTGTGAGCGCTGAGAGGAGCTCCGCCCCCTGCACCGCAGCTGAGTGTGAGCTGAGTATGGCACGGCGAAGGTGCCAAAACTTAGAGGAGAGGGCTCCAGCCCCCAAATCCAGTCCAGTGCGCCCTCCAGTGCCCGCTCCTAGAAAGTGCTCTCAAGTGTCCGCTCCTCCAGAGCGCAATCCTGTTCCCGTGTTCAGCCTAGAGGGGGCTCCTTGATCCAGAGTTTATTCCCGAATGCCCGGAGGATCACAAATGCCCGCCCTTCCACCCGCTCCTGCCTCCTCCTCCACTGTCATCTGGCAGCCCCTCTCGGCCCCCTGGAGTCGGCGGCCATTCCTCCTCCATGGCTCCTCCCCCCGTCGGCTCCACTGTGGGCCGTCATTATGGCTGTGGCCTGGGTTCAGCTGGACTCCTCCTGCTCCAAGCCCCTCCTGCTAGTTCCCACCCATGCCCCCCCTTCTGCTGTTCTACGGTGCGAGGACGCACCTTCTGGGAGGGGGGCGATTATGTCAGGATCATGGACCGGTTTAGTTGTGTTTTGCCCCTGTCTTTGTTCCTTGTGTTCCTTATATGGTCTTTTTCCTGTCCTCGTTTAGTTTTAGTCATTCAGTGCACCTGTGTTTGTTAATTATCCCTTGTATTTAAGTTCAAGTCTGTGCTGTCTGTCTTTGTCCGAGATTGTACGTCAACCCACGTGTTACCTGTGCTCTTGTCTGCCACATGTATTCCCTTCGATAATGGATTAAAAGAATATTGTGTTTGTTTACGCCTTGTCTCCTCACTCCTCTCCGTAGGTGAACGTGACATTAAATGCCTAAAATTTAAGTTAAAATTATTCATTTTATTTTTGTTTTGCTGGTTTATATATATATTTTTTTTTTGGCTTAAGTAGTGTTTAATATTTTTGTATGCTACTTTTTCCATTTTTGTTGTTTTCTTTCCTAATGCCACTAGGGGACCTGTTGTCACAAAATGTCAATGCACACTATGTTAAAGTCAACATGAAATGCAAGTTGTGATTTCTTCCCTACTGTGACATCTGAGTGAAATGGATTCTGGAATGTAGGGCGGGATTTCACCCTTCGCCGGAGTTTGATTGACAGGCGATCTGACCAACACGACAGAGCAGGTTACTTTTGGAATGAGACCATAAGTTTCAGCTTTCAAAAAATTTTTTTTATCTGTGTAATTTAGCTCTTTAATGTGACCTATTGCTGTAGCGCCTCAGTTCTAGCTGTTCAAACATGAATCGATCTCTTCCTGCTAATTATAGCTCAAAATAAACATGAATGAATGTCAGAAGGTATGTTGTCTCAACCACGGAAGAAGTCAATACACCATTTTCAAGTTCAACTCTACTGACGTTAATATATTCATAGTTTTCAAGTGACGTGATGCCCTTACTGGAACGCCCACATGGAGGGCAAAACAAGACTTTCCTCCACTGACCACCAGTTATTTTTACAAGGTTTGCATTAAGTAGTAATGTAGTAAGACAGTGATATTTAAAGGCCTAATTCAGTATACACCTTATTGATGATGCCTACTTTGTACAGGCAAGCAGATAAACCCAGAATATAAATGCAATGCGCAAAGTTTAATATTAAAAGTTTTCCCATAAAAATCATTATAAAGAAATCACTTAACCATTTAGCACACTGCGTTCATGTTCCGGGCTCATTTGCTTGCTTGTATAAAGCATGCATCATCAATAAGGTGTGTACTGAATTTGATCTTCTAATATCACTCTTTTAAAGGCACTTTAAGTGTTTTCACGTTAAATGTTTTAGAATGCCCAGCTGTTTTTAGTGATTGAAATATTGCGGCCGGTGCTTAAATGGATTGCTATTGGCCAAAACTTGCATTTTGTTCACATATTTTTATTTTATTCTTTTGAGAGGTGATCTAAATATTTTTGGATTTGAACAGATAGAAAATTGATGGGTTTGTGCTGCAGTAGTTCTATGGATCTTTTGGCTGCCAGGTCTTGGAGCCAGCCACATGACTGAAAACAATGAATTAACTTTCTTGTCTGGTTTGTTTGTCAGACAAAACGGTGGATTCTGCATTATGATTGGTCAGATCGCCTGTCAATCAAACTCCCAGCAAAAGGTGCTAAAAGACTGGTCATTGGACAGTCAGTGTAGTCCAGGGCTTAATTTGTGCTGGAACAAGCCGGATCCTGATCCGGCACCTCCGAATTTGTCCGAAATCTGATCCGGCACCTCATTTGACAGATTCCCTCCTCTCGCGCCAATGAAAGACGTTTGTGTTGACCTATAGCGTGCATATATTTCATGAAAAAAACTTCTATTATGAGCAGGCTTGCCTAGCATCTACATTTGAAACAACAAACTTAGGCATGCAAAGAGATGCGACATGGCTGCTCTCACAAACCCGAATGCACGGATCCAATACTGATACACATGCGTTTTCTTTCTCAGATGTTTACATTTAGTTAAGACAAAACCGACTGTGCTTACGAGGATAATCGCCAGGACAGCCATTTTGACATTTTTTGTGTGTATTTGGCCGCGTAAGCGCAACAAGCTGCGAAAAATAACTCAATTTGGTACTCGCTAAATGTTTTCGGGGCGGCTTTATGTATGCGTGCGCTTTTGATGTGACTGAGGACAAAGAAAACAGTAGGCTATCTAGAGCGCGCGACTACCGAATGGTTTAAAAAGACTTAAAAAGATGTGTAAATGTTTTATTGGTTTTGTCTCGTCCTGCTGGGAGACGGCATCACAGTATGTTAAGGGGCGTAACATTTCTGTCACACACTTGAGGCATTCGGCCAATCACAATGCACTGGATAGCTGGCCAATCAGAGCACACCTCGCTTTTTTAGAACGATGAGCTTTGTAAAAATCTACGCGTTTCAGAAAGGCGGGACATAGAGGAGAAACAATAATGTACATTATATGGAAAATAATGTGTTTTTTTAACCTTAAACCACATAAACACATTGCATTACACCAAATACACAAAATAATGTTCTTTTTAGCAATGTCATATGACCCCTTTAAAGATTATAAGTACATACAGTAGAGGTAGACAGCTGGAGAATCCAGAGAACAGGCAGGAGTGCTGGACCTGAGGCCTGAGGCGGAAGGGCAATCCAGCAGGTAGGTCAACAGAACCAGGCCAGTAAAAGAAATTTCATGGCCCCAGACAGGCTGAAAGAATAGATCAGGAAAACAAAGCCAGGCTAGGGTCAGACAGAAGAGGAAGGCAGGACAGTAGAGAATCTTGGAGCCAACAGAAAAACCAAAACTGGACAACTGACAGAAAAAAACAGCTGGATGCTGAGAGCAAACAACTATCTGGCACAGAATAGCATACACAAGGGGAATAAATAGAGCAAATAAGAAGTATGGCCCCAATCCATAAATCTTTAGGGAGCTCCGCAGCGCCACAGACCTCACGCTGTGAGCGACCAAGATTATTGCCCAATCTATCGGCCATAAGATGGAGAGTTTGGTTGTGCTGGACAGGCACTTATGGCTAAACCTCCCGAACATTAATAATTTGGAGAAGGTAGTCCTTCTGAATGCCCCTATCAAATGCCATTGGGCACACCAATTATCTGATCCAGATAAACCAGATAACGCCAGTCTTTGCCAGAAAGGTCCAGCGACAAAGTCTGCACATTTTAAGGCAGGGTGTTTTGTTCCTGTCCCTCTGCCTGTTGCAGTTGACTATATC